AGGATGACATGGGATTCTGGAGTCAGGACTTCCAGCACAGGGTGGAGGTGACTGGCCTGGGAAGTTGGATCAGTAGTAAGGTAAGGGGGGATGGGGAAGCACAGGAACTGCTGCACAGTTTACTGTAATAAGCCTTCTAGAGTGATGCTATTTTTTAAAACTAATCACATATAACTTTGATGAAAATAAAAATTTAAAGGAAAGTAAAATGAGAAGTGAGGAATCCATCCAGAGAACTGGCCCAGATAAAAAGCTAACAGTCACCTCCTTTGAAACCTTTATTTAAACGCTGTCTCTGCACTCTACCAGCAACTAGAGTAGTGACTTAGCTTAAATGCTGATCTCCCCTGCCTGGGCTAAATCTTACTAAAGCAGACTAAAAAATGGTGAACACCTTGCAGGAATACAAGAAGGATTTGCCTCCCCAAAATGAGCCACAGTTTCCCATGGTGTGGATGACAAAAAAAAAAAAAGAAAAGAAAAGAAAAGAAACTGTAAATCTCTATTTAAAACTATCATTTACACTTTTTTTTTTCTTTAAAGATGACCGGTAAGGGGATCTTACCCTTGACTTGGTGTTGTTAGCACCACGCTCTCCCAAGTGAGCCACAGGCTGGCCCTTACATTTTTTATCAAAGTATTTTGGCCAGTGTAAATTTTGGAAAGCAAATCAAAGCCAGTTTGAGCTGGGTAAGGCATTGCTAAGTTCCTGGGAATACTTGAAAACCAAGTAGTATACAAATAAATGTTAAATAACACATGAACAGGGTCTGTTTCACTTTTTAAAAATAAAAAATAACACATAGAAAGTTCTCTTCTTCCATGAAGGGATGTAAAAAGGCTGCCAAAAGGAAAAACGGAGGTTTTCAAATATTGCCTACCAATACTCTTTTGCCAATGTAGAAATTTAAAATTACAGAGATGGAATGCACCTTAAAAGTCAACCAGTCCAACACTCCTGATTTACAGATATAGAAGGAGAGGCCCAGGGAGGAAAAGTGATTTTCTTGGAATACAAAAGTATTTATGGAAGAGCAGAGAGTAGAACCCAGGCTACCTGACTACCAGTCTGTCGTCAATGCACATTAAGTGCCAGCTTCAATTGCCCTGACCTATATGTTGTTGCTGAGATGGAGAATAGGGTTCCTGGCAAAATGGGCTCACAAAGGCAGACATTTAAACAAGGCAGCAGGTGAAGTACAAAACAAGCTCTAAGTTAATGCACCCCACACAATGCATCTTGGACGTGTGTGCAGGAGGAAACTTCACAGGATTTTCAAAAGACAGTAAAATGCTTGAGAGCTTGTTTTAAAGGATCAGAAAGCTCTAGCCTCTTTTCTATTCCTTTCATATGCACAGTAAAAGAGCAGGGGCATTCCGTTTCCACTGTAGGTTTTTGCATGTGAGACCAAGAAATCTATCGATGCAAAACTGCTCTTTAGGGACATAGTGCTTCAACAAAGCATTGCCAGGGCAACCTGGGCCATTTGAGCCTCCTTTTTAGGGAACTAACATCAGCTTTAAGACAGCCTCTCCCCAAGTGAGAGTTTCAAATGCTGCCTGTAGATATTTTGTAATGAAAGAAGTCAGCAGTTTTACAACTTATGTACATGCTTCATATTCCCTTTCCAACGTATCCTCTTCAACTCTTACTCTAGACTCTGGCTTTCTTCCCTCCTCTGTGTCCTAAAGCAAGGGAAAAAAATCATTCCTTTTTTTTCCTTTTTGTTATGTATCAGTGCAGGTTTATTGCCCCTTATCTACCGATTTCCCTTTCATTCCATAAGTGCAATAAATATGTGTTCTGATATTTGCTTTAAATTCCCTGGTTCTTGAGAATGTTTCATTGTTAAGGATTTTTCTTCACCTCTAAAGTAAATGAGCTTACCATAGTCCATTAAGATTGTCATTTTGTCTGAGGACCATGGGCAAAGTCTGACAGGTAGTGTTTCACTCTTATCTCTGTCTGATCAGAAGAGGAAGTCTTGCTAGTCCCTCTTTAGCTTGAGGCTGATTATTGGCCTCACAATTACACAAAGGGAGATGCAGTTCTTTCCACACCTGAAGGCATTTGAGGTGCAATTTGTGTGGTACTTACAAACCCTGTTAAAAGGAATGGCTGACTATTTTCCTAATCTGTCTGTTTGCATTTGTAGACATTGAGAATGCACAGTAAACAAGCTAAAGTGCAGAAGCTTTCACAGGTTTGTGGTGGACAATAACAACAACTGGTAACAAAGAGGAGAAAAAGCTTGCTACAAATCTGTACTTCATCAGCCGATACTTGCTTAAGGATGTTCTTGGAGAGACCTTCTAAAATGGTCAGAGCTTGCCATCCCCACAAACATTAACTAAAATGAACATACCTCAAAGAGTATTTTTTATCTTTTAATTTCAAATATTCTGTCCTCATTTGAAAACATGCAATGTTGCAGTATACAAATATAGGTGCTAATCTTAAAGTGAGTGATGGATGATAGGAGACATTGGTTAATGAGCTTCTACTGGATTTATAAAGGGAAAGGGTTTCACCTCTCCGATGGCTTAGTTGTTGTTCTATTTGAAATCTGAGATGAATTAGAGTTGAAGGAAGTCCACTTCAGCACTATGATTTTATTATTGTGCACATCTCTGTTTTAGATGAGTGATTTAAATATAAAAATTTATGGAATTCTTCATTAGCATCTCAGCAGATGAGGCCTGAGAATCAGTGTTGGTATCATGCTGCACAGGTGATTGTGCTGCACAGATTCTGAACCTCCAACATCCGTCAATAGCGTGTGCCAGGCCCTTGTCAGTTTGAGATGGTTAAGAGCTTGCAAGAAAGGTTTTCTGCTATTCACTGAACAGATATCCATAGCTTGTAGTTTGCAGTTTTGTAGGAGGAAGAGTTAAAATTTTTTGTGCAAATAGATTGGCCTAATTTATATCTTTGTTACAGAAGCAGTTATAGAGTGGATCAAAAATTTTCTAAGAAATATTTCTTTAGTGGTTTCCTCAAATGTTTCACCAAATATTCTGTTGAAATTCCAAAGTTATGTACCAGAAAGCATAGAACAGTTGACCTTGGCCTGGAAAACTTTGATGGCTGAAATAACCAATCAACTAACTGCAATACAAAAGACCTTGGTAAGGATTCTGTAAACAGCTTAATTTTTGTACAGGGATATGCTTAAAAGATGAAATAGCATGTTAAATAAAGTTATTTAGACTTCCCCATACAAATACTAAATTATGTCTGCTTAAAACAATAATTGGATTTTCATATGTTTTTTATAAAATCTTGTTTCTGAAAGTAATTGTCCATGACGTTCAGTTGCCACTTCAGAGTTCTTGGTAATCCTGTCGCACTGATCAGTGTGAAGAAAATTTATATCTTTAGTATGTTAATGGCTGAAGGACTTATATACAGTATTTCTCATTGATTTATTCATTAATTCAAACAAAAAAATATTATGGACCTACTATGTACCAAGCTCTGTTAAATGTTCTGGGAATGGAGCTGTGAATATAGGATATATAATCTATACTTCCCTTACCACGCTGGAGGAATTGAATATACCCGACTTGGATTTTCAGATTCTAGAATTGGAAGTTGTTTTCTCAAAAGTTTATTTGTAGTGATCTCTTACAAAGATATTAGGAAAGAGGCTTTGAAGGAGACTTCCAACAATGGAACCTATCAAATCCAACCTATAAATGGCTCCTTTTTAAAGAGGTGGTATTTCATGATAAATGAATAAATTTTGTAGAAAAATTTAAATTGCTCCCAATAATCTTATTAATTGGTGAAATAGGACAAAACAATTATCAAGAGCAAAATGTGTATAAACCCTACCTGTTTCTAATGTAGGATGCTAGATTTCATGATCCAGACTTGCAATGTTTTTAGAAGATACTTTTGGATTTTGATAAAGTATTTAGGTTAACTGTACTGAATAGAATCAGCAAAATCTGGTTAAGGAGTATTCTGAGTCTACGAATCATCAGGTGACTATCATCAAGCTATAAAAATCTGTAGAAACAACTTCCTCAGTAAGTTGGAATAGAAATACAAAAAGAAATATGTTCATTTATTCAATGGGTATTTATTGACATTCCATTATAAGGCATGCAATGTATTAAGGTACCAGGGATCCAAACATATAGACAGTCCTTCCTTCAAGGATTTTGCAGATCAGTAAAGATCCTAGTAGAGAAAGATTTGATCACTTTATCTCTATCTCTATCTATCTATCTATAGCTCAATGAAGTGCTATGAAAGAAATATGTACACAGAATATAGCACATGAAATGGTATCTATTTTCTTTAGTTCTTTTAGTATTTTTTCATACAAAGTTATTTTTATAATGTGTTATGTTGAACCTGTACCTAAGAATATGGGTCACTTAATAAAAGCCACCCATTAATTCAATTATCTCCTTTGTTTGGTGTTGCCAGGTCCATTCGGCTGTTTATGACACTAAGCCCATGTTTTAGACACTGAATACAGAATGAAAGGTTAAAAAATATATCAGGTTAAATGACTGATTATATGTGATTCAAGTATTTATTATTTTATTCTTACTATCATTTATTAATACTTGCCTATGTCTTTCTCTTTTTTATTGAAACATAATTGGTTATACATATTTGTGGGGTTCAGAGCTGACTATCAATATGTGTGTACAACATGTGATGATCAAATCAGGATAAGTGGTGTATCTGTCATACCTATGTCTTTCTTAAGGCAATACTTTATACAATTTATTTCTACCAGTCAGACAACAGTTAGAGATTCACTTAAAAGCAATATTGGATATAAAGAAAGTGAGAAAAAAATACAAAGAAATAATATTTTATGTCTTTAGCTGCCTTCCTAAATCACTGAAGCAAAAGTACCACCGAAGAACTATTTCATGGAAACAACTAGACTAGTGAATAATTTGCCTTTTTAAAACATAAGTAAAGCCTTGCGGATCCTGCGCTGGAGGAGACGCATGCCGCGGACATTGTCTCCCTCTCAGGACTGTTATTCAGCGCTCTGCAGAGCCCTCTCTCTCCTGTGCACAATGGCAACTCTTAAGGAAAAACTCATTGCAGCAGTTGCAGAAGAGAAGGCAACGGTCCCAAACAATAAGATCACTGTAGTGGGTGTTGGACAAGTTGGCTTGGCGTGTGCTATCAGCATTCTGGGAAAGTCTCTGGCTGATGAACTTGCTCTTGTGGATGTTTTGGAAGATAAGCTCAAAGGAGAAATGATGGATCTGCAGCATGGGAACTTATTTCTTCAGACGCCTAAAATTGTAGCAGATAAAGATTACTTTGTGACCGCCAGTTCTAAGATTATGGTGGTAACTGCAGGAGTCTGTCAGCAAGAGGGGGAGAGTTGTCTCAATCTGGTGCAGAGAAAAGTTAACATCTTCAAATTCATTATTCCTCAGATCATCAGGTACAGTCCTGATTGCATCATAATTGTACTGTCCAACCCAGTGGACATCCTTACACATGTTACCTGGAAACTAAGTGGATTACCCAAGCACTGAGAGATTGGAAGTGGGTGTAATCTGGATTCTGCTAGATTTCACTGTTTTATGGCTGAAAAATTTGGCAATCACCCCAGCAGCTGTCATGGATGGATTCTGGGAGAACATGGCGATTTCAGTGTGGCTGTGTGGAGTGGAGTGAATGTGGCAGGTGTTTCTCTCCAGGAACTGAATCCAGAAATGGGAACAGATAATGATAGTGAGAACTGGAAGGAAGTACGTAAAATGGTGGTTGATAGTGCCTATGAAGTCATTAAGCTAAAAGGATACATGAACTGGGCCATTGGATTAAGTGTGGCTGATCTCATTGAATCCATGTTGAAAAATCTATCCAGGATTCATCCAGTGTCAACAATGGTGAAAGGGATGTATGGCATTGAGAATGAAGTCTTCCAGAGCCTTCTGTGTACACTCAGTGCTCAGAGATTAACCAGTGTTATCAACCAGAAGCTGAAGGATGATGAGGTTGCTCAGCTCAAGAGAAGTGCTGATACCCTGTGGGACATTCAGGAGGACCTGAAAGACCTGTGACTATTAAGTTCTAGGCTGGTAGAAATTTAAAAACTACAATGTGATTAACCATGAGCCTTTAGTTTTCATCCATGTATGTGTATCACAGTTTGCTTTTATCTTCGCTAGTATGTGACTTTGGGCTTGCAGAATTAAAACCCCTGCTTGGTTTAATGCTTGCAATAGGAGCCCTTAATCAAATAAAGTTAACTATTGTAGTGTGAAAAAAAAAAAGTAAAAAACAAACAAAAAGAACTTAAGAATTCAAATTTATAGTTTTTAAAGCACTTTCATAGTCATAAATATCCACCTTTTTGATGAAAAGATTTGTAGAAAAATCACCATCTCTTAAGCATGAATTATATATTTAAAGTAATAAGTAAGTAGAAATTATTAAAATAATGAAAGACTTGGCTTGGGGCTTGTTATGCCTTCTATAAAGCAGCAGTTTATTTTAAGAATCTTTTCTCCCAGTTTTGAGTTCCATTTTTGTCTGAATAAAATAACTTTAATAAGATATTGGTAATCTATTTTTCAGAACACTTCCCATCCTATTCCAAAGATACAGTTTCTTAATTCTGAAAGTTACGAGTAACAATTCACAGAAAGATAGATCCCCAGGGACAAAGTATAAAAATACATTAGGAGAGAACTACAAGGACATCTCCAACAAATAGCGCTTTTGAATAGAGAAATAGAAGCTCCCTTCACAAAGAACTGAGGAGATCTATTCATGGTTTCATATAAACATTTTGAAAGCCCCTAAATTGTGGTTTCAGTATCAAAATAATGAAGTGTCAATGGCATTTCTTCTCACAGTAAAGAATTAATTAAACAACCTCTATAATGATCTGGCTTCTAATAGTTCTATTTCTGACATGAGACCCTTTTACCTTCATTCTGAATTACATGAATCCTTGTGAATGCTTTTGTTATAACTACTCATTTCACTTCCTCATGTGTGATATGAGTTTCTATGATCACAATTATCCCCTTACTCCTTTTGGAGAATTTGTATAGCCTCTTTGATTAGAGAAACTCAAAGCATTTTGCAAATACACCATTTAGCCCAACCAATATGAACCACTGCTGTTATTTTATCAGAAAAGCAATGTCACCTTTCAGACAAATTGACAGGCAAAGGAAAGTCTTAAATCATACCTAAGGACAAGCTACAAGGACAGCAAGAGGGCAAGTTCTAAAAATCGAGTAATGTTTCCATTATAAATATGCCTTGCTTTCTCCAATAGATGAGTTGCCTTAAAGATTTTTGTAAGTAAATGTATTGTTTTCAAGTCAGATCAAATTTTAATGCATTCTGAAGACTGATTAAATAGCAATGAATCCTGTTGATTACAGCCCTGGAGTTTTCAAAGGGAGAATTAAAGTGCACACTATGTATTTCAAAAAAAAATTACATTTTAAATATGACAGGGAAGACGTAAATTTGCAATTTTTCTGAAGCGTTGTACAGGAATGACAAAGTCTAACAGTTCTAGGGCCAGGCAGGAAACATAACCAGAGAATGAGGCAGCAATAAGAAGGGGGAGATCACGTGGCACACATACACGGGCATTCCCCCTCCAGAGGGGCAATTTCTGCTCAGATCCCAAATAGCCTATGTATGATATTTGGGAAGACAAGCCCATTGTACCGTATCTTCTGAGTTTTAAGGACATGATGGAAACCCACAGGATTATGTGAAATTTTCTGACATCTTAATTCAAAATCCACTAAATCACTGGACAGGCCAAACAAACAAGGCATACTCATTACATTAGAGCTATAGGCCACAAAATTGTGATCTCTGTATAGTAACACAGTCTAAAAAATGCAGCACCTCAAAAGTTAACCCATAATATCATGACACTGAAAGGAAATCCCAAGAGGACATTGGTTCAGATCTTCTATATAAGTAGGTCCATATCAAAACTATTGAAGATGTTTATTTGTTCAATGAATATTTACTGTTAACTACCAACTCTTGCCAGGCATTATGCTAGGGAGCAGGGATATGACATTGGACAGAATATAGTCCTTCCTCTTTTGAGGAGGTTGGGGAATAGAAGTCATGGTATCCCCTGGCTTTATGTTTCCAAGTGAAATGGTGGGAGCTCCATTAGGATAATATGCCTGGCCTCTGGTTTCATACTCTTAATCTCTTCTCTTGGGAGAGTGAGAGTGACATCTCTGATTGGAGAGTGTTTCAGAAGGACCTGGGAAAGTACAGATTAATGTCATTGTCTGAAAGTTTGTATCCCCCAAATTCATATATTGAAACCCAATCTTCCCTGTGATGGCATTTGGAAGCAGGGCCTTGGGAAGTGATTAGGACATGAGGTTGGACCCTAATGAATGGGATTAATACCCTTATAAAAGAGGCCCCAGAAAGATTCCTCACCCCTTCCACCATGTGAGGACACAGTGAGAAGGTGCCATCTATGAACCAGGACGCAGTCCCTCACCATACAACAAATCTGCTGGAGCCTTGATATTGGACTTTCCAGCCTCCTGAACTGTGAGAAATAAAAGTCTGTTGTTTATAAGCTACCCAGTCTATAGTATTTTGTTATAGCAGCACAAGCAGACTAAGACAGTTGGCTCCTCTTTCCTCTCTGTTTGTAGGGATTTGACTTCCCATTGTTGTCATCTGCTGTTGGCCTAACAGGAGTGCAGGACATTTGGAAGGATACATTCATTTCAAGGAAGAGTTAGAAAGCCATTTGTCCAAACTTAAGCCATGATATCCAATATAGTTTAAAAGGCTAAAAGTTGAGGACAGAGAAATTTGACTCTTCTGTCTTCTTTTCTCTGTGGTTCCAAGCTGAGGTAGGATAGAAGGATGTTAATTATCAGGTTTTACCAAGATCTCAATAATCTCTCCAGAATGTAAACTCTAGCAGGCAATGCTGATCATTGTGGTAAAAGAAGTATATTGCACTATAAGAACACACAGAAGAGGACCTTAACCAGGACTAGTCAGAAAAGGCTCGTTTCAAAAAACATGAAGAATAATTATGTATTTAGCCAGGTGAAGGCACAAGCAAGTGAGGAAAAACAATGTTCCTGGAATAAGAGGCATTGGGCTCAGCACGGCAATATGGAGGCAGGTGAGTGTAGAGAGGAGAGGGGGACAGGCACAGAGGGGAGGGCAGGAGGGCCAGAAAGTTCTAAAGGGTCCTACAAATCATATGAAGGAATCTGGCTTTCTGAGAAAAATAAGAAATGCCTCTGAAGTGCTTTCAGTTGGAAGTCACATAATCAAATTTGTAGTTTGTCTTAGTCCATTCAGGTACTATGACAAAAATACCATAAGCTGGGTGCCTTATAAATATCAAACATGTGCATCCTCACCTGGTGGAAGGGGCAAACAAGCTCCCTCGGGCCTCTTTTATAAGGCACTAATTCCATTCGTGAGGGTTTGGCCTTCACGACCTAATCACCTCCGAACCGTTGGACCTCTTCATGCTATTGCACTGGGGATTAGATTTTAACATATTAATTTTGGGGGACACAAACATTCAGACCATAATATATTTTTAAAGATCAGTCTAAGATAAAGGAAAGCTCACTCTGTCCACAATGTTATAAATGGGTTGCAAACAGCAAATCCGGATGGACTAATTATCGTTGCAGAAATCCAGGCAAGAAGTGAAGTTTCCTATTCCAGGAACAAAGAAGAGGGATCCAAGAGGTATGTGGGAGAAATCATCAGATCTCAGGTGAACTTATGACCTCAGAATAAAAAGTTCCTTAGAGCCAAGCAATGTCCCCACGCTGCCCCCATTGTTAACACTCCACTGACCTTCAATAAAGTCAGCAAGTAAAGTAATGAAATCTGGTCTCTCTCAGTTTGGTCAGAGCTGGTAACATACCTGGACTGATAGCTGTCCCCAGGGCTCTAGGTGCCACTACAAACACTTGAGACCTCAGGCTTCCTAGGCAGGGTGGTCCATCACAGCTTCTGCTATGGGTCTCACTGGCCCTCACCATGACCATCCCAATGGCTCCCAACTTAACTCCTTCTCAGTACTCCTGGTGCAGGGGGTGGGCTATAGCTGCAGGAAGTTTAGATCCCATCCATCCCATCCAAGAAAACAGAATGGCTGGAAAGTGAGATCACATCCCACCAAAATCACTCTCCATCTAACTTACCTAACACTCCTTCAGTTCAGAAATCTGAACACACTTCTAAAGACTTTGTCCTTCACCTCTGGCTCTGTGTCAATCTTCTCTGATAGGACTGGGGTTTCCTCACTTCTTCCTACCTGGTCTTCCTTTATGTAAACTCTGTGATCTAGTCCACCAAATTTTGCTTCCAAAGTAAAGTATCAGGCACCTGATCTCACTGGCTGAGATTTGAGGAAGACAGGAGAGAGAACAATTTTAAAGGGTAAATCAATTATGATAACAGCTAACAGTTATTGAAGACTCTCCATAAGCTTGGTGAGCTCCATTCTAGGTGCTTTTAAATTTAGTATTTTTAATCACCACAATAACCCTAGTATATTTCCCATGGTAGAGGAAATTGAGGTGCTAAGGAATTGTGAAATTTGCTTAGGATTGCATAATTTTTAAGTGATGAGGTGCTGGGATTGGAATCCAGGCATTCTGACCTCACATTCTTTACTAAGTTAGTTAATTAATTGATTTATTAATTAATTTCAGTGTGATATAATTCAATCTAAGACAAAATTTACTTCAATAATGTTAGCGTGGTGGTCAGTTTTTCGTATACTACTAATCAATCAAACTAAACAAGGACTATAAAAGGCTTATTTGATTTGTCAGTAAGAGGTCACCATTGACTTTGGTGTTTTCAGGTATGAGGGAGAATGAGAATAAACAGGGGTCGAAGAGCAATTGAGAGTTGAGAAATTGAAGCGACTCTACCCCATTCTTCATCGGGAGTAGTTAGAGGTAGATACTCGTATACGTAGGTTTAAGGGAGAGTTTTTGCTTTGTTTTGTTTAACTTGGGAGATAATTGGGCATGTTTAAATACTGACAGGAAAAGAACCA